TGGTGTCGTCAGGGACGTACGTAGCGCCCCCCTTTTGAATCCACAGACCAGACTCTGCCGGGGGGGGAGCTGCCACGACAGGAAGTGGCGTGGCGTGGTCGTTTTGTTGTGGCAATTTGCCCCCTCCGCCGTTAGCCCCAGCTGTCCCCCCGGTCATCCCAGGCAACGAGACGCCGCCTGGCTTGTTGGCAGGAGGAGTTATGTCCGCCACCCCCACCGGCGGGGGCTGGACGACGGGGGTCTCCTTGGGGGGAGCCACCCACAGCTTGGCCTTGACGTCGTCGGTGGACGTGTTGCGCGCCAGCGGCCGCGGCAGTCTTGGCGGCGCGACGTCGGTGGAGATCGGGTGTTCCCGCGTCGGCAGCACCGTCCGCTCCGCCGTCGGATCAGCGACGTACGTCGACCCGCCCTTTTGGAGCCATAGCCCACTGTTGTTGTTGGAGGCGATGGGAGCGGCGGTGGCCGGCGGCGGGGACGCCAGGTCGTCCATAGCAAACTTGGACGCGAAATCTGCGACAATGTCGGGGGTCATCGACTCCATCGCATCCCCCCCAGCGTCGCCAATGTCAAACGAGGCACGGGGGCTGTTGTCCGCCGGCACGTACTTGTCCAAGAAGGCCGACAGCGGCTTGTCCTGGGAAGCAGCTATCTCGGCTGCTCCTGCGTATTCGTGTGGGGATCCGTCCGTGATGTCGGTTCGTTTGCCGAGGACTTGGCTCACAACGTTGTGCCACCCCTGGAGGTCCGTGGAAGAGGACGCAGTCACGTTCACGACACGGCCATTGTCCAGGTGGAAGTGAAGGCCGGTGTCCGACATGGTCACGTCCGCGAGACGGCCGCCACCTTTTTGGTTGCCATCGACCGTGTCAAAGTACGCAATATTGCGGCCCCGGAGAACAAAGTAGCGCTGTTTCCACGACTGGACGATTTCGCCTTGCTTGTCGAGCCACCCAGTGTACGTGGGGCGATTGTGCAGCTCTTGTTGGCCTCGCTGTTGCTCTTGTGCTTCTCGCTGCAGTTGCCGGTGTTGTTCGCGTTGATGTTGCTGATAGTCGTCGTTTGCTGACGAGTGCTGGGACCGCAACGCATACGGGTTGGGTTGCGGCTGTTGATGCGACGACTGCGGCGGCGATCGCAAGTTCTCGTTCGAAATGCGGTTGTCGTAGGGGCTTGGAGACGCCGCACCGACGCTCGACTGTTCGGTGCGCACTGCGCTACTGGACCGGTACTCGCCAGCAGCGGCAGCGGCGGGACTTGGGTTGGACACGCGACGGCGCGGCAGCGACACAGCGTTCTCCAGCGCATTCTTGCACATGACGTACTCGCCGACCGTTTTGGTCGTGATGTTCATGGCCTTGCCCTCTTTGCTCAGCAGGGTCATGCCGTTGTCGTACGATTTGTTTGGTTGGACACCAGCAAGCACGAAGGACCCCTTTTCCTTGGCTCGGGGGTTCGACACCTCCTTGTCGAAGTATGAGATGTTCTGTCCAGAGAGCACCAAGTAGCGCTTCTTCCATGAAGGTACCACGCTCCCTTGCTTCTGAATCCAGCCTTGCCACTCATGGACACTTGTATCTTTCTGCATGTTGTCGCGCCGCCTTTCGAGGTAGAATGAAATGACTTGCACGGGTTGCCATATTCCGCGTATGTGATTGGTCACAAGTTTAATTAGTTATTTGTATGTGTGAGCTAACAAATGGATGCGATTTGATTGGCCCGCCGTCCTCTGTTGCAGGGTTGCAACGACGCTGATTGGCTCATGAGTATTCCACCCGTGCTGGATCGCAAAAACTTCTGAACACACCTTGGGGGATTGACAAAAGTGCATTGAAAATGCTAGTTTCTGGAGCGCTCAAGCTTTGACTGTGCACCTTAGAGCCTGTTCCAAGTACTTTTCAAAATGGGCATTGTCCAATCAAAACGCTCCCCAACTCATTACAAAATCCATTTTTCAAAATGGGGTACATGACCTCATTTCATCCCATTTGGGCACCTCAGCTATTTCGCCAATGACTGGCTAATAATGGATGCCCACTATCCAATCATTGATCCCAATCCCATTCCAACTTTTCAATTTGACATGATGGACTCGACCACTGCAGCGTGAGTTGCTGTCGTTGGCGCCGCCTTTCGATCGATGAACGTAGCAACCGCGCCCCTGGCATCAACACTGTTGTCGTACCCAGTACCACGTGGCAGCAAGTCAAGACCGACGGCACATACGACGGATGGTTCACGCGCCACCTGCGCTGCACCCGCCACACCTTTCTGTGCATCGCCGACAACACTGTGTTATTGACCAATCAGCATGCATCTTAGGCTAATGATTTATGTCCAATCAATCATGGTCATAGAATGGATAGAAAATGGGATGAAATATTTTGTCACCCCATTTTTCGTTTTTTTCCAATTCTACTTGGAACAGGCTCTTAACGTTACCATCGATTGTATTATAGTGGCAAAAAAAGAGATTCCTACTGGTGCTCAAAGTTTATCCTAATTAGGCATGGTGGCGGGCATCCCTTTCTGACCAATCAAATGGCTTATTCGCTGTTTTTAATCAGTGTGAAATTGTTAAAAAAGGCCTGAATAGTAACCCTCTTCACATGCTTGAACAGAACTCCATGTATCCCAACAGCTTGAACATACTACCGGTATGTATAACTCCATGTTTCCCAACAGCAGATGGGCTAAACGCTCATCCCCACGAATCCGTGACTGCATCGGGACGATTGAAACATGTTCCAGTAACGTTATTAACGTTAGTGATTCTTACCACTAACTATTAATACTCCGGAGTACCGGTACTAATTAGTGATTACTACGTAGTATTACTATTACTTCGAAGTAATGCAGTACTACTTACTCCTAGTAGTACTGTACAGTACTGATAATTGATAACGCTAATTTCCTTTTTGCGGGATCGCCGATGCCGCGTTTCTGGCGTTTGTACGTGTACTACGTAGAAATTATCACAGCAACGGCCGCCGTGGACACGAATTTGTTGACAAGTCCTGCGAAAGTCCCGTCAGGGGCCTGGGGCAACGACCAGCGGCTAAAGTCACCGACAGACGGCTCTCCATCCAATGGTGTGTCGATGGAAAAACGACCCAACGCATGCCTCGTAACGTTGTGCCACCCATCGAGGTCCCGAGACGATCCCCGCACATTCACGATGCGGCCACGACTGTCACTATTTCTGACGGCGAGGTGGAAAGGCAAGCCGCCGTCTGACAATTCCATGTCCACGAGGTACCAGCCGCCGTTGGCTTGTTCAAAGTACGTTAGGTCGAGGCCTTACAGGACAAAGAAGGATTATTTCCACGACTTGAACTTCCCTCCTTCCCTTTCCAGCCATTCAACATACCGGTAGGTGGATGTTTGATGTACCAACGCGCCGTGGGCGGAGGGCACCTGCGACGTCGTTGCCAGCTGATTTGATGATCTTTCATCCTCTTTGGGGCGACTACATGTAGTGCTCAATCGACCCTCAGCAGGTGCTGGAGCATTGATGGACCCGCGAACGGGTGCATTAAAATGGGCATCATCGCGGCAGTGGGGGGGGGTTCCCCTCGAAGGTAGTTGGAGCGTTAGGAACGGTTTCGATGGGGGCTGCTTCACATTCCTCCTTTAGCCACTCGGCGTACTCCATTGCGTTCTTGCAAACAACGTAGTCGCTGTCCATAATGGTCGTGATAATGACGAATCTGCTTGCGTTGGTGAGCAGGATCAGGCCGTAGGTGTGACCCACGTTTGGCCGGACAATTCAGTACGAAAGTAATGCACAACCTTACGGCCGAATCTGCCTGCGTTGGTGAGCAGGATCAGGCCGTTGGTGTGACCCACGTTTGACCGGACAATTCAGTACGAAAGTAGTGCACAACCTTACGGCCAGATGCGACTAAGTACCGCTTCGACCACATGACCCCCCTTACCCCAGCCTTGCCACTGGTTGCAATAACTGCCAAATTCGCATGATTTGATATTTATATGTGCCAATTTAGGTTTTAGGTCGTACGAAAATGCACCACTCATAGATCGTTATTTGAATATGCACCAATCATACAGCGAACCTCTGAATTTCTATTCACAATTACATACAAAAAGGAAGGTTGAAATATATACGACTTAACAGAAAAAATTATAGAGGTTCCGCGTCTATATCGGTTGTTCCCAAGGACTCCAAGCCTTGTCCAAGGGCATATGAACCTAATTATTCGTAGGGAATTCTCTACCTTTAGGACTATTTCGAATTCGATAATGATGAAATAGGACGGAGATATGCCCATTTTTTTAAATCAAATGAAAGTTGTATGTCATAAATTGGCATTTTACGTTATTACAGTTTGTCTGGTATTATCCCAAAAGGCCCCTTCAAGATACGTATACTGTAATACTCCATCCGTCCCACCGTTATTTAAAGTTAGAAGTCCATCCACCATCCAATATTTGAATGGAAATATATTCCAATGATACAATGATACTGTACTGTTTCAGTCCCACCAGTGTTTAACGTTATTTAGAGCTACAAGATATTAGAAAAATGGGTGGTTTACACGTATATTACCTTTTACTTATACTGTACTGTATTATGTTTTTTAATAAAGCAGCTATTAAAATAGCTGCTTTATAAAGCTATATAAATAAACATAATATAAGTAAAAGGTAATATACGTGTAAACCACCCATTTTTCTAACTATCATAGCTTTAAAAAGCTATGAGTTAACTGTAGGAGTCCGTCCATCCACCATCCAATACTGTATTTGAATGGGTTTATTCTAATCATACTGTTATTAATAATAACGTTACCAGTAAATACAGTACAGTACTGTACCTCTCCGTTAGAAATTGTTTTTCATTTTAGATTTCGATTCAAACCACACACAATACTATTAAAAAACAATTAATAAGAAAAAAACAATAAAAGGTATTTAGAAAATAAATAAAATAATATATATATATAATTATAATTATAATTATAAATAACTTATATTTAAAAATATTTCTTTTAAAAATAATAGTACTCTACCCCGACTTTTAAAAATATTACTACGTAGTAATTCACTGTCAGTACTAACGTTAGTAGCATATGCAGTATTTTTGGAAGTATTTTTGATCCGGCGTGATTTGACTTGGATTTTGTAAAAGGACTGTCCTTTCTTTTATAGGTGGCCGTTGACCAGCTGCGGCAGCTGAAATGATTGCGGCATTTGATTCGCTCATGAAATGGTCATTCCACCATATGATTGGCGGAGACTAGAGTTGTGTGCTGTATTCGTATATTTGTATAGTATACAGAGGGCAAGATAAATCGGGAGGCGACATTGAAAAACGGAACGTCAATCAGCTTCTTCATCACGACCGCCATGCAGTCCTACGAGCATGCAGGATGGGTGTACAAGCAAGGGAGCATGGTCAAGAGCTGGAAGAAGCGGTACATGGTGCTAAAGAACAAGCAGCTCACGTACTTTGAGAATGAGAAGATCGAGGGCAACTCCAAGGCGAAGGGCAGCTTTCAGGTGATCACAATCGAGATCGCGCATGACATCAAGAACGGGCTGCTTGTGCATGGCACGGGTGGGCGTGTCATGAAGCTGTACACAGATAGCGCAGAGTCCTGCGAGGACTGGATCAATGCCATCACACAAGTCACGTCTGCGCAGCCCCCGCTTGTGCCACAAGTAAGTGTCCGAGGACCTGTCAATGGCAGCAGCTCGTTGAGTCTCCCTCCCCGCGACAGTCGCAGCAACAGCACGGTCTCGTCTTTGCGCAACAGTCTCACTGGGGACGATGACAACGGAGTATGCACCGGGTGGCTGGCCAAGGAAGGCGGCCGCGTGAGAAACTGGAAGCGGCGGTACTTTTCGTTGCAGGGACGGTCGCTGACGTACTTTGACAACGCCAACATGATCGGCGCGGCAAAAGGCAACGGCCAGGTATGCGGGGTGCGAATAAACAAGGACAAGCCGCTCTCCATCGACGTCAACTTCGAGAAGGGCCGCGTGCTACGGGTGACGGCCGACAGCAAGGACGACTTTGAAAAGTGGTGGATGGGGTTGAACGCAGCAATCGAAGGGCGCAGCGTGTCCCGCGCCAGTCAAGTGAGCGTGTCGTCATCGGCAGTGGTCACTGCGACCCCTCCCAACGCGTTTCGATCACTCGAATCGTACGAGAGCCATGAAGACTCGACAACCATCGCCAACAAGTACGCTACCCAAGACTCGTATGCTTCTGCGGATGCCGCTCGACTGTCATACAACCAGTCATGGTTGAGCTCCGACTCGGACGACGACAAGGACGACGGCGACTGGCTCTAGTAGGAGGCCAACCATATCCCACGGAATATAGTGGATGATGGTTTGCCAGATAGTAACATAAATATATATGCGATTAATGCCCATAGTTGCAATCTAAGGGAGTCAATAATGTATGTGACACAGTAGCCAGCTTCCATCGACTTAGCCAGCTTCCATCGACTTAGCCAGCTTCCATCGACTTGTGAGGCTGACAGTGTATGTGATACAGTAGCCAGCTTCCATCGTACAAAGTGCCACCGTCCCCAATCGATAGTGTGTATTTCATACAGGTTAAATAGGATAAATACGATCAACAGGGTGACACTAGGCACGAGTCGACATGCGTTCGCTTTCGACACTCTTTTCGATGCGCCGTGAGGTTATCTTTGGTTTTGAATGTCTTGGGGGCGCCCATGGGGGGACAGTCGGGGCACAGGAACGGCCGGTCGTTCTGGTGCACGCGCTGCCAGTGGCGCTTGACAATCTGCAGCGTCTTCATGCACTTGCCGCCCTCTTCGCTGAACTCGCAGCCGGCGACGGGGCAGTACTTTGGTCCCACTGGAAACGGCAGCTGGTCGCCGAGAACGGCGCGTGGGTCGTCGGTCGGGTGCTGCTTGGCATGAAATGCCAGCTGAAAGTAGTTGGAAAACGTACGGCCACACCCGACCATGCACTGGAACGGCTTGACTCCGTCTTGGAGGAGGTGCAGCGGGGCCACCATGGGCGTGTGGCTGACCAGTTTCGGGTGCTTGGGCGCCTTGTTCTTGTTCTTCTTGGGCGCCTTCTTGTTCGCGGGGGCATTGGTCGTTGTCTGTGGCGCTTTCGGCTGCTTTGAAGGCGACATCTTGGTCGTAATCTGGTGGTGGTGGTGGTGATGGAGGTCGTGATGGTGGGGGCTGGGATCTCTCGATGATGTTGTCGTGGCTAGCTGCGCTTGGAGATGCAGAATCACCTTCCGCTGCTCGTTGATCTTCTCCGTGAGCCTGCGACACCGTCCCGTGTCACTGGGGTCGTGTGACACTGCTGGAGGGGATGCCGTGTGCGGATGCGGAAGTTGCGGCATGGGCTTGACCAGCTTGGCCGACTTTTTTTGCCGCTTCTTCACGGGCGACGTCTTCCCTGGCGGGAGGGGCGGCGGCGCCGACTTGGCGTGGATGCTGACATGCATGCGGAGGGCCGCACGAGATGCATACCGCTTGCCGCAGTCGGCTTCGATGCAGACAAAGGGCCGCTCGCCAGTGTGCACTCGGCGATGCGACCGCAACGACGCGACTCGGGCAAAGCACTTGTCGCAGTCCGGGCACCGCAAGTTCTTCTCCCCCGTGTGGACAAACGTGTGGTCCCGGAGATGCGCGTTGTCGGCAAAGGATTTACCACAACCGGGATGCGGACATTGAAAGTTGCGCATCCGAGGACGCAACGACGGCGTCGAAGAGGACGAGGAGGGATGATGATGCCGATGGGCTTGCGGAAGGGACGACGTGGAGATGGGGCTGAGTTTGACGCGCTTGGCTGGCGGCGGACTGAAGCTGCCATCGTCGTCGCGGGACGTGTCCAACCCGTCGAACGACGAGTCGTCTTCAGGGAGGAACAAATCGTATGAAAAGTACGGTTCGTTGGTTGAACCATACATGGGCAAGATCGTGTCAAGCGATGGCATGTTGAGTGGTAGTAGGTCACTGAATGTCGGCGACGACGACGATGTGGTCGCTGCAGCAGATACAGGAACCATGGCTTGCATGTCGGCAGTGCTGGGTACAGGTAACGATGCGATCGTGGTGATGGGAGCGGTAGCATCAGTGCGAGGAGGAGGGCTTGGCTGGAACAAAAGGGATTGGAGGATCGATTTGTCGCATTCCAGGGTTAGCTTGTGTTCATCATCGTGGTTGTTCAGGTGAAGGAGCGACGAGCAAGGCTCGAAGCCATGGTGGGGTTCACTCAGTGTGGCAAATGCAAGACTGGCGCCGGGAACACCGTCACCACTTGTCGACGATCGACCTTTCTAGGAATGAGCTGACGAGGATGGATGACCTCGCTTGCTCTCAGCTTACGCCCACTTGTGCCACCAACCAGCCACAGGTTGAAAATCTAGAATGTTGCCGCCACCGCCAACGTGCGCCGAGAAAATCGGCAGGGCGTCCACGTGCCCATCAAAAATGCCAAAATTTAATATTGACCAGTTCACTGGGATCAAGTCATTTTCAGGCACAATTAAGAATCGGATTAATATTATGATGAAACCGGTCCTGTATTTGCTGTGCACCGGCCGGCGGGGCGGTTGACTGGCCAACGGACACGTACTGCTAGTACGTAGGCTGAGACAACCACGAAATCGGCGCCATATGAACACTGGACTTGAAACCTTCCGATTCATACCCTTACCAGTCAGCATCATGATTGGTACACAGTACTACTGGTAGTAGCATTCACGACTTTCCAACTTGATGTTTTTTGTAAGGATATATTAGCCAATACATATTCGACATTGGATTAAGCAAGAGATGCGCCAATCAAAGTCCACGATACTGACGTTTGATTGGCTTATCCCAGGTGATAGATTTTATCACCTGGACTAAAAGTGATTAAAATTGTTCTGGGTGATATGTGGTTAGATCATTTTTTTTTTGTCCATCGAACAAACGTGCGATTGACGAAAACGTTTCGACTTTTTTTTGACTGGAAGTCATGCCTCGATACAGAAGCAAAATAAGAAAAAAAGGTTTTTGTCGTCCTGTATTTTCTAAATCAAAGCCACAAGGTGGGGTCATGCTGTATACAATGTTCAAGCTTAAATTGATTCCCAAATACACTGGAAAGCAGTCGACTACAAGTTCGTATCCCACGATATGCCTCGTTTTTGATAAGCATATCCTGTTTATCCTGGTCGTACACGAAGTCGCTCCTCATCTCAATTTGACGGCACAACGACCATGGTTAATGCCAAGTCGGCGGCGGCAGTCTCACATTTCCCAGGTCAATGAACTTGAAAGGGATCTTGTCCACGCTGACCGTCTTGGCACTGGCATGCACCAGCGAGGCTGAAAAGTCCAGCGGCGGGAAGCTCGTTGGGCGATCAGCACACGGTCCCCACAGCAACCTCCAGTCGGACGTGACGGGCAAGGTGTACAAGGCCGAGTCGCCCATCAAAATCGGGGACAAGGTGAAGCAGTCCATCAAGCACAAGGCGGGCAAGTCGGCCACGTTCACGATTCCGTTCAAAGGTCCGTTTGTGCAAGTGCATTTTTCAGACTTTTCGCTGCCGGATGGCGACTCGATCAAGCTGTCGACGTCCGCCAAGCACCACCAACTGATCAAAGCCGGTAAATTGGGATCCGACAGACTCTCGAAGCGCCTGGACACTGGAAGCTCGAGCCTCACGGTCGAATACATTTCCGGCGGCCCCCACCACACCCGCGACTACAAGGGGTTCGCCATCGACTACATCCTGCACGCACCCAAGAAACCCGCCAAGAAGGAAGACGTGTGTGGCGCTAAGCCAGCGTGGGAGCCCGCCCAGTGCCTGGTCAAGAAGGATCAAGTCAAGTACACCCTCAGCAAGGCCACGGCTCGGATGGTCATCCAGGGCGGCCAAGGCGCGGGCACGGGGTTCCTCATTGGGTGCGATGGCTGGTTCCTCACCAACGAGCACAACATCGAAACCCAAGCCGCTACCACCGCCGCATCGTACGAGTTTGGAGCTGAGTGTGCGTGCGACGACACAGCCAACAACGCCAAGACCATGGGCTGCCCAGGAAAGCTCAAGTTCACGGGTGACGCGGTGCTGCATGCTGTGGACAAAACCCTCGACTACACCCTCGTGCAATTCGACAAGAAGCATTGGCCGGCGCTCGACGCGTTTGGGTACATGACGCTGCGTCGGAGCGGGGCCGACCTGGGCGAAAACTTGTGGATGCCGCAGTACCCGCAAGCGCACCCGCTGCAGATCGTCCAGCGTTTGGAGAACCACACAGCGACTACTATCACGAGTTTGAACGTCGAAAATGAGTGCGGCAAGGGCCAAGTGGGGTACTTTGCAGACACGATGGGCGGGTCGTCGGGGGCCCCCGTGGTCGGCAGTTCCGACAACCAAGTGATTGCGCTACATCATTGCGGGGGGTGTCAGAACGTGGCGTACTCGACCAAAAAGATCCTGGACCACGTGGAACTCGAGTTCAAGAAGAAGAAGATGTCGTTGCCCACATGCTGGACACATGCCAAGACGGCGGGCGGCCTTGCCGGCGACTCGGATGCCAAGAAGAGGAGGAGCGGGGATGGCGGCAAGAAACAAACGATTGACCTGAGTGCATTGTTCCCCCCGGCCAAACAACCAACTACAGGAGGTGGCGAAGCGCCTGTGAAAGGTGGAGCTGCGTTGACTTCAGAAGACCACGCGGAAGCTACAAAGAAATACCATGTGCAGAACCCCCCACTGACTGGGGACGTAGATGACCCGCCGCCTACTGCTCAGCGTCGCGCCACTGGAAAGAAACGTGGACCTAAAAAACGTGGCCAACGCACCAGTGGTGGTGGTGATGGAAAAGCCCGCGGACATCCGATAGAATTAGTCGAACCGGACGATGTTTCTGTAGGAGTAGCTGCCCCGCCCCCTCGTCGTGCCCCGAAGCACCCTCCCTTTGGAGGGGGCCGACGACGATCACAAGAACGCCGTGGTCGGGCGGCTCTGCTTCCCCCTCAACGTCGTCAAGCCCCCCCCGCACCAGAACTGTACCAGGTCAACGTGTGCAAGGCGGCCACGTACGTCGTGGACGCCCCTCCGTGCTCGGAAACGGGGGACGCGTGCCCCAAGGCGTACGCTGAACCCATTGGCGGGTGCTACCCCGGCATGATCAACTCCCCCACGGGGTGCGTCGTGCCGGAAGACGCCATTTGCATGCAAGCGCCAAGCCCCAAGGACGGCGGCTCCATCTATTACAAATGCGTGTTTCCGTCTGTCGGGTGCTAGAAGGACAAATCACAATCGCAGCGCTAACTTTATACTACCGGTACTACTAGTTCGTTGTCGACAGTGAATCAATTCGTTTCGAAAATTCAATTCTAACACCTTTATGTGTGACGATAACTATTAATATACGTACACTTTATTTACGTATTGTATTCTCTATAAAATCAAGCAAACCAAGTGAAAACTGGCGCTGGTTTCGACTTCGTGAAATATATATGTGAACTTTGACGCTGCAACGAAATTAAATCTATGGGGTCGAAATACAATATATATCGGCGGTGAGAAAAAATATACTCCACGCTAACAACCGTAATACAGTATATATAGTACAGTATTAATAGTAGTGAATAAAAGATGAAATTAATCGCAAAAAGGTGTACTGTAGTAACACTAACCTTTGCGTCGTATGTACTCCAAGTAGTAGTAGTACAAGCTTTACGACTTTACGACGGATCGACGGTCGTCAATCGTATCCGGAAAGTGATCTGATTGGACGGATCAAGTTTCACCATTATAGCATCATCATTCACATGATGCCAAAAACGTGGGTCGGTCGCGCGGCGGTATGCGTGCTGGCGATGGTCGCAACGGGGACATCGCTGGAAGACACGAAACTTCAAGTGAAGAGACCGTTCGTCGGCACCATCGGGGAGCTTATGAACCTCACGCTCTCGATTCCAATAGGAAAAACGCGCGTGCATCACCGCATCGAGTCGAAGAACTCTCAGACGCAATTCATGGGCGTGCAATTCTCCACGTTCGACCTACCACCTGGCGACACACTTGAGATTTCTTCCGACAGCAACAGCTTCACGTACACAGGACACGGCCCGTCGACTCGGTTCTCGGACCACGTCCATGGCAAGTCGGTGGTCATCCAGTACACCCCATCCCACCCACGCGCCAAAAATGCACGGCCACGGACCTACGCAGGCATTGTCGTGTCCGGCATCTTGGAAGGCTTTCCGACGTCCACGGGTCGGGAGGACGTCTGCGGCATCCAGCCGCAGTGGTGGCCCAACGTGTGCAACGCCACCAAGTTCCCCGCCGCGTACAAGAACTCCAAGTCCATCGCTCGGCTCACCATGGACGGCATCAAGTACGGCACAGGGTTCCTCTTGGGCTGCGATGGGTACTTCCTCACTAACAACCACAACGTCAACTCCCACACGACAGCGGCGACGCTCAAGCTCGAGTTTGGCGCTGAGAGTGCCACGTGCCGCGATCCGTGCAACGCAGTGGCGTTGGGCTGCCCGGGCAGTGTCGTCGTCACAGGCGCGACGCTCGTTGCCACCGACAAAACCCTCGACTACTCGCTGCTGCAGTTGAGTCGAGCTAACCAGGACCTAATCTCGTTGTTTGGGTACGTGAGCTTGCGCAAGTCCCCCCCAAAGCTGCACGAGCCCATCTACGTCGTGCACCACCCCGACGGGTTTCCCAAAGCGTTCACGGACCGATTGGAAAACGGCACTGAGACGGTGGTGACCAGCATCAACGTGCAAAATGAATGTGGGCAAGATCAAATTGGGTACATGGCCGACACCCGGGGCGGGTCGTCGGGGTCGCCCGTGTTTGGACGAAGCGACCACAAAGTCATTGCACTGCACCATTGTGGAGGCTGCGAGAACGTCGCGCATGGCATCCACAACATCGTCGCAGATCTGAAAACAAAGTGGAAACACAACCTTCCGCGCTGCTTCTTTCACGCCACCTCGAGCCAAAGCCAGTGCTCGCTGCCGCAGCCACACGTTGAACTCGTTGGCTACGATAGCGGATCTGTATCGGCCGCATCTCCCAAGCTATGCTGTGAACTGTGCAAGAAACAACGCAACTGCAATGCATTCACATGGACTGAAAACTTGGACCAACGGCGAAATACGCGAGGGGGGGGCACGTGCTGGTTTAAAAGTCAAGTGGGCACTCTGGTTCGAACTACTGGCGGCGTGTCGGCGGTGGTCCTCTCATAATCCTGCCTGGGTCTCTTGATAGTGTAGTATGTAGTCTTAGTAGTAGCAGGTTTGTATAGCACTAAGTTAATCGAAAGATGAAACCACGATATGGGGTTGAGATCATCATGTAGTATATGACGTGTGGCGTAGGGCGTGGTCGAGCTCGGCCATCAAGGCCTTGTCGCTGTCTCGCTCAGGATGATGACGGGGCGGGAGGTGGTCGTGCTGCTGCTGGCGTCCAAAATCCTGCGTCTTAGCCCGTTGTTTCAGCTTGAGCACTTCGTCTGCCAACAGACGCAGCGCCGTGGTGTTTTGAATGCACTGGCCTCGCAGCGCACGCACGTGCTCTTTCATTTCCGTTGCATGGAGGTCGTGTAACGCCTGCAACGTTGTGACTTCAGAGTGCACATTGGCTACGCAACGCTCGAGCGCTTGGTCGCCCATGGTTTGCTTGTCCAGTGTGTCTTGGAGTCGCTACAAACAACTTTTGGGGTCGGGGGGGGGGGGGCATGGCTGGAAAGCAGGTGTTGTTTCGAAGGCAAACTCTACCTGAAACACTTTGTGGAACTGCGATGTGACGATCTGCGTCTCCAGCACATGCTTTTCCTCGAGCAGGGTTTGGCCGGCGCTCAACGTGTGGGCCAACTCAAACGTCTAACATGAGATTAAAACCTTCAATATACTGTATGTAGACAAGACGACTCGAACGCACTTGCGCTATGCGATGGTCGTGGTCGTTGTGCTGGGCATTCCACTTGGCCTGTGCTTGCCGGAGTTGGTCGGCTACCACGTCCTGAGCTCGACCTAAAGATGCTACTCGAAGGTCCGCGGCGGAGATTTGCGCTGCAACTTCGTGGTGCCGCTGGTCGTTTTCGTGGACGTGGGTGTCTTTGTCAGATAACTTGAGCCGCATCAAGTCCTAAGAGCCAGCTGTTAGTCATAACCCATGCAATTGTACATACAGGATTGGGGCATACCTCGTTCATGGATTGAAGGGAATGGTTCGAAGCCACACGTGTTTCCAGCATCTCTACGCTTGACTTAGGTGTGGAATACCAGTCGGTTAGCTTTCGTCGCCACGTACCCAACCTTGCCTCAAAGTCTCGTACAAACGACTGCAACATCTACACAGCATGTGACTCTTTCGACTGGAGGACGAAATGGTCACCTTGGCGGACGCCGCGGCAGTCTGCTGTTGGTCTTTTGTGGCTGCAGCGTAGTCCGCAGTCAAGTGATTCAGGGTGTTCTGGGCATCCCCATGCAGTCGAGTTGCTGCGTCGATCTTGGCGTGAAGCAAAGCAACTTGCTCGCGCACTTCCGCCCGAATCTGGACGTGGTTGATGGCATGTGATAGTGGTTGAACGACGTACATGGAGTAGCTCGTCCACGAGGAAACTTGGATGTTGATCCGCGGACGGGACCAGCGTGGAGTTTGCCTTATGGGGGTCCCTGGTTGATGACGACAGGTACGGGCTCTGGGGGGTGTGGTATCGCGGTTGCATCGCTGGGAACGTTGTGATGTCGATATGTTCGACCAAATGCCATTGGGTGCTTTTGACTTTGGTTTTTATTGGCTGAAATACCCGGTGGCAGTTTCACTTTGACATCAGCGTGCCACGTCATCGAAAATGATGTCAACTTGGCAGCTCGAGATCGCTTCTCAAATACCGACAGCCGGCAAACATGGCAGTCATTTACTAACCATAGCCCCCCCCCTACAGTAATACACTGTATGATGCCCGCCCATTTCCAAACAATTGACTGATGTTGCGCACCTGAGATACAGTTCCTCAGCGAGTTGAACATAGGCAGAAAAGTGAAAATTGTACGTGTGTGTACTGTATAGTGAGTGGGCTTGGTATGTTGGCAATATTGTTCAATACTCGACAACCATGGGCTAATCGTGTTCGATTTCGCCATTGAAACTTCGTCTTAGCAACTTTGGTTCCAAGCCAGTGACCACACCGTAGCAGTCACTCACAGCAATGCCAACCATGTCTAAGTCGAGTTTGGGCGAATCGTAGTGACAAGCAGGCATCAACAAGCAGGGCGTAAAACGAGCGCACAGGGGGTTGGGTGCCTTGAATACGAAGGCGTTTACTGGTGAGCAAAGCCACGTCCATAGTCGGGGGCACCGCCTCGACGGCAATCCCGTCGGGGCGGAGAGTCTCAAGGGTGGGCGACAAACTCTGCAAACTTCCAGCGGCACCGTTGTACATGAGAGATATCGTTCGGAGGGACGCGAGAGAAACCAATTCCAGTGGCACCTCTGTGAGGTCGTTGTAGTCTGCCTCGAAATTCGCCATCGTCGAGATGTCGTAAATGTGGTCTGGGATGGTGCTGAGGCCGATACCACTCAATACCAACTGCTACAGGTACGAGTACAGCGGAACGGTCTTGTTGTGGACAAGGGACACGTTGCGAAGAAATATGTAGTGGAGTTCTGCTCATTGAGCGCTAGAATGGCTGGCATTCGGGGCATGTTCAAATCCATCAAGTACAACGCAAACAACGACCGAGGCAAGTGCGACAGCGTTAAATTCCAATCGATTAAGCCCGTCAGGCGCAACTTCAACGAGTGCAAGTTGTCCAGGGCGTGCAGTGTGGCATTGGAAAGGCCATAGGAAAGTTCGCGTTGTGCAATCTCCAAGTCAACAAATGGGGCAACGATTCACGAACAAATGTGTCGACGTCGTGGCGGGGGTGTAGTATGCAGTTGGGCCGCATCACAACACACTGACTCGTCTGACTGAACCACGGGTACAATTGGTGGACACAACCAACCGGACAGTTCTCTCTGGACCCTTGCCAAGGTCAGCGCGGCGACAAGAACGGCACTGGCGACAAAGAAAATACAAAGGAGCCCAAGCCCGCAGCGCCTCAGAAGGGCCTCTTCGTTCCAAATAGAAACGTTTCAGAGGCCAATTTCACTGGCGACGTCACCGACAGCGCACGAGCCAGCATGATCGTTTTATTGAGCGTCGCGGTTCCATGCAATGGTCTTGGCGCCCGAAGCTTAGAAGTCTATGACGCTTCAAAATAACAGGAGAAGGGGTCCCCCACCGAAAGGGAAGAGTTGAGCAAGGCGCCGAAGAGGGCTATGCCATACCGACGCACGAGGGAATGCTGAGAGTACAGCATGCACGGCACGACAAGGCATCCGGTCGCAAGGATTATAGTGTACAACGTAGTACATACAAAGCATCCGACCACCGGATTAGGCAAAGTTGATCACGCGTACATTCGATGGTTTAGTCGCCACGGCCTTTTGGGGCTCCATGGCGAGATATACGACGTCCGGATCGCGTTCAAACACTTGATTTAGGTAGCCTTCCAAGGCTACGAAGCCCGTGACATGAGTCTGAACCTGACGAGCCCTGGAGTGGGCTCTACTGTAGAGCCCACTAAATCAAGTGTTTGAACGCGACCCGGACGTCGTAGATCTCGCCATGGAGCCCCAAAAGGCTGTGGCGACTAAACCATCGAATGTACGCGTGATGAACCTCGCCTAATCCGGTGGTCGGATCGTACACAAGCACGCGCGTGTTGATGCAGCGCGGGACCAGGATGTATCCAACGCCGCGGAGGTGCACAGCGCCAAGTACAGGTACACGAGGGCGGTGGTGCGAGGGGTGTAAAGGAGGAGGACTTTGAGTTAGTCGTCGGGGATAACATGATACACTGCTGCGAAACAGATAAAAAACACGAACGAAACCGAGTGAAGGATGAGGGCGATCGACGTAGTAATTACCTCTCCAAAACACAATTCTCATCTCTAAGACTACGTTGTTGGTTCACGAACATGGTGGCTTGTTGTGATAGGTACTGTAGCGTTACGATATCCATTCCAATCGTTCAAATCCCCGAGTGGTCGCTGGTTTCATCAATACAGATGATGACATATCGCGCCGCTCAGTTTCCCGTATGCCATGGACATTGCACTGATGCATCGGGTTAACGTTAATTAGGCAGAAGCGGCAACCAAACTAACGTTACAATCGCCAAGATACCTTTTGTTTCAGCTCCCCCCCAAAGGCTTCCCGTCAGTTGCGATAGTGAGCACCCGGTGGTGGTGGCGACAGATATTCCCGCCTTGGGTAGGCTACAATGACAAAGTCCTCCCTTGGTTATGACGGTTCCCAACCCGTAGTCAACCCAAAGCAGTCACTTCCACTGGTGCCACTGGCGACAAACTCGGCTGCCTTGGTGTCAAAGTTGCACGATGGCACCAAACACACACTTTCGCAAACGGTGTTTCCGACAAATCGGGCATGGCACCCGACGCTGCAATCCGGACTGCAAACATCGTCTAAGATCCCGACGATCTGTTGCTCCAAGGGTGGCAGCGTGGCGACTTGATACTTTCGTGCAGCGGCGTAGAGGCGATCGCACATGGGAGTTCCTCGAATCCGCAGGCGCTGGCTCTGGATAAGGGCAAAGTCAGTGTCCAGCGGCAACGCGAGCAGGGGGTTGCCGTCAAGGTATATGGTTTTGAGGGACGACGGGAATTGGCGGACAAAGGCCGACGGAATGGACGAGATCAAGTTGAACTCGAGCGAGAGAGTTTGGAGGTTCCGGAGTGCCAACAATTGGTCCGGAAAAGACACAAGGCGGTTGTAGCTGAATTCGAGCTGTGTGAGCCCCACCTGGTCCAACACGTTGAGCGGGACCACAGTCAAACTCATGTTGGTAAGCGACAACATCGTTAGATTTTTGTACACGGACATGGCAGTGGCCCCCTCATCTCCTGTGATAGTGATATTGCGGAGAAACATGTACCGCAATTTATTCACGTTGCGGTCAAGGATGGTTGGGAGGCGTGGCACCACTTGGTCTTGGAAGTATAGCATCGTCAACGACGGCGGCAAGTCGGTCGGTTCTAGCTTCCATTCCACCGTGTTAGTGAGGCGTAGCGACAGTGAGTACAGGTTGGTCAGCGAGTGCAATGTCTGCTGAGACAGCCCATGCGGCAAGTTGCACTGGACAAGGGCAATGTCGAACGCATTGGCCACGTGGTTGAGTACGAACGCGTCCACGTCGTCGTTCGCAATGGGATGCAGCACGCAGTTTTGGCGCATCATGACGCAATTGCATTGCTTGGTAAACCAAGGGAACGTTTGCAGCCGACAGCCAGGGGCACATGACTCGCGCGTGACCGAAGTACCTGCCATCGTGCAAAGAAATATGCCTGCTACAGCAGACACAAACAAGAACGCCCGTCGACAGATTCTCAGCAGCACGTTCACATTCTTGACCCGAACGGTCACGAGTTCCGCGGCCCGCCGCATGGAGCTTTCGTGCATGGCCATATCCCTAGTACATCAAAGGGACAGCGTTAGACCTAACGCTATAGATTCTACCTTCGGTTTTTACTAGAATTCGTACCCCATTCGAAGCTGCACGGCGCTGTAGAGCGCCGTCAGCGAAACGTAGCACGTGACAAACGGAAGAAGCGTGGACAGCATGTCGACGACATTCGTCACCGACACGAACCGAGCCATCATGATCATTTGGTTTAACCATGTCTTGTTCCACACGAGCGCGTCGTTGCCTGCGACAAAGTAGTCGACAAAAGCGTGGAAGATGATGGCCAGCGGAAAGCCCGCGCTGAGAGTAAAGTCAAACAGCGCGTCCACAAAGCCTGGCCCCCATAGACGGGTAAATTCGTGCGTGGAGAATAGAAAGCACGGCACAAAGAGACAGTCGCAGGCGAGCAACGTTGTGTACAACGCACACAGCGCTGGGTTAGTCAAGTAGACGCTCATTTGATACGCTTGGTACGCCTGGGCCGGCACTTGCACGATTTGTTTAAACGTCACGCGCATCTCGTACAGCGAGCCGTGGAGCCCAAATACGCCATAGCGGCTGAAGTATTTGTGATACAGATGTACGAGTTTGCCAACGAGGGAGGTGGGGATATCGTCCAGGTAGAATTTCACCAAGGCGGTGCCGAAACAACGCGGGAACACCACTCGGGACAGCCCGTGGAGGTGCAGCAGTGCCACGAGCACAAACGCCACCGACTGGACTTTTGGAGCGAACAGCTGAAGGATGACCGCGTTCTCGGCGGAAATGACAAAGTAGAAAAACGCAAAACAGACCAAGTACAAGAGCGAGGCCGAGTGCAATGTAAATGTGACGGCGGCAATGGTCCATCGTTCTGCCCAACCAAATAAATACGGGGAGTTGGCCAACAGAGTCGCCGTGGATGCTGGCATGACAGTATGCATGGCTGAGGAGAACTGTGCTGGTGGAAGTAAAATGGCCTAAAATAGTGCAAGCAGATTTGTAACGTTCACCGCGATGTGATTATGTAGACGTGCGTATTCAATGTAGGCAGATACAGTACCCGACTGGAATGTCGGGTACTGGCGGGGGTATGTTTGTTGTTAATACTGAAAGCGTATCTCGTTTTGCAAAACAGTGAGCAAAGATGGATGTGGTATTTGGCTGAAGATCTGCCGCATTACCGTGGTGGTGTTTGGCTATTATTAATGTACTACAGTACGTAGTAACGTTATTACTTTAGTCACGAAACTGCAGCTTTCAAAGATAGCCAAAATCACACTGTCGGAAGCGCGGGAAAACGTTTCAAATTGTGCAATCTAATGAAAGAATGAACCAATTAAAAACTCGCTCGATAAATTTCCACCAATGAAACGTCTCACGACCGGTCGCCTTGCTATCCTCCAAACTGTTCGAATCTCATTGCAAGAAACAACCGTGTGAAGTAGATAAACACGTAATATTGTCCCTCTTGCTTTACGTCCTGAGAGATTTAAGTCACCTACAGGTATGTAAGAGAACCCACACGTCGAAGAAAAAAAAAAAAAGCCGTTATTGTGCTTTCGAGTGAAATTTCGTGTTGTGGCGTGGTTTCTCGTTGGAATTTAAATCGATTTGATTGGCTACCTCAGATGAGCTCCAAATTATTAGCCAATCAAAACCCTCTCAATGAAATTCAACCAATCAGATCGATTGTGGATCGGTTTTGTTGGCGCGATTCGATTGCACTCCCTCCCCAAATTTGTATCAAATCGACAATATTTTTTAATTTTTTTAATGCCCACGGACACAACGCAACTTTTTCACTGCCAGAAGATGTTGGCAAAGGAGGAGCGACGTGTGTTGTGGTGATATGGGCGATATTTGTATTTTTGCTCCTTTAAATAATACTATGTCGTCCGTCCTATGATGAATGTCCTGTGTGATCCTATACCTTTGAAATATAATACATCTTGGAATCAAATACTCTAAAGCGGATGGTGCATTCCAATTCAGGTTGTGTGGAAATATAAGGTTGTATAGGGGATAACGCTTGAAGCGACAACAGCCGAGGACCGGTGGCGAAGAGAAGGGCACTGCATCCATTGACTCTACATCTTCATCATGGAGGAAAAGCCATTGCAACATGCAATACTCAAGTACAGGAACCTCAACGACCGAAAGCACTCGGCACAACCGACCGTGAACGGCACGTACAACGCGGCAGCCGCAACAACGACACCTGATGCCACCGCCGCCATCTCCACAAGTATAACCTCGCCGCCATATGTATGGATGTCAAAACCAATGACGAATTCTTGTGTATGTGTCGTAGTGCGCAAGCGGCAGCCATTTTCATACCAAGATCACACGAGCATGGTGGGCCAACTGCTTGGCGCCACTTCGGGTACGAACCCTGGAGTAGTATACCCTGCTTTGTGAACTTACCAATTCTTGTAGCTGCGAGAAAAAGCAATGTTTCTTCGTCGTCGTCGCTCAACGGATTGTATCCATCGTCGAGTAGCAGCAACGGCACAAACAGCGGCGGCGGTCTGTTGCGGCATGCGACGACATCCAGCCATCACCATCACCACCACCATTCCCACCATTCTCACCACCACATGTCACCTTCTACGACCAACGAAGGCTTTCAGTACGAAGAAGCGTTCAATCGAGGCAAGAAGCACGTGGAAAAGAAGGACTTCAAGCGCGCCGTGTCCGAATTCTCGGAAGCAATCACGATCTCGCCCAACAAGCTCAAGGCGTACATTTACCGGGGCGACTGCTACATGAACACGGGTCGATTCCAGCCCGCCATCGACGACTTCTCGACCGTGATCCACATGACCCCAGCCAACGCCGACATTTACGCGAAACGCGCCAAAGCATTTGAGAAACTGCACAAGTACGTCGACGCCGTGGCCGACTATGGCCAAGCGATCGATCACAGCACCACCCCCAGCAAGTCCAAGGACATGCACATTGCACGGGGCCGCGTGTTTATGGCCATGAACAGCCTCGCGCAAGCGCTAGACGACTTTACCATATCGGTGGAGCTCGATCCGAGGTCCGGCGTTGCGCTATTTGAGCGCGCCCAAGTGTTTGCCGGCCTCCACAAGTTTGATTTAGCACTGCACGACTATGACAGTGTGATCGGACTCGAACGCAAGTCGGGGCACCGCGATGTCCGTCTCGAGTCGTGGCTTGGGCGTGCGCACATGCTGCTGCAGCTCGCCGACGACGAAGAGCGCACGTATATGGCGGACGCGGCCGCCGCCGAGTCCGAGGCCGGCGTGGCCAAGGAGGACGATGCGATGGCCGTGTTTGCAGTCGACCGCGAGTCCGCGCTGCACGTCCAGCACACGTCGCCCAACCAGAGCCACGCGGCCAAGAGCTACGTCCACCGCGCAATCAAAGACGTGAGCATGGCGCTGCAACTCGATCCGGAATCGGTCGGACTGCTCGAGATGCGGGGCCAAGGGTACCTTCGCGTCGGCGACTACCACAACGCACTGGTGGACGTGAACGCAGCGCTGGCCAAGGAGCCGACGAGCGCGCCGCTGCTGTTGCTTCGGGCGATGGTCTTCAAACACCAGGACGCGCTTCTGTCGATGGTACCCCGCGCGCGCGCCATCAACCAAGTCACGCGGGTCATTGAGCTGTCGACGAACGCCCACGAAGCCTACTTTGCCCGTGCGCAGCTGCATGTGGAGAACCACTCGATCGAGCAGGCTGTTGAAGACTTGAGTGCGATCGTTGAAATGTACAGCTACGCGCTGATCGCCCAAAGCAAGGACGGGGATGCCGCCACCACCTCGAGGCTACAACCGCTGCCGTCGTCGTCGGCATTTAGCAGTCCGTTGGTGGAAGACACGACGACGTCGGCGGTCGTCCTCCAGTCGTTTGGGTTGTCGGCCAGTCGGCATCTATCTGTTCGCCAGAGTAGCCCCACGGACATTGCCCTGCGCGCGCTGCTCTGTCGAGCGCGTCTGTACATGACGTGGAAGGGCAGCGCCAAGGTGGTGGGGGTGAAGGAAGCGATGACCGACTACCAGCGCATCTTGTCGGTGGCGCCAAGCCACTTGGACGCGCAGATGGAGCTCCAGGTCGCAAAGGATGTGGAAGAAAAGGCGCAAGCCGAGATTTCCGCGGCCGCGTGCGAGTGGCTCATGCAACATGGTGACACGAGTACCAGTAGTAGTAGTACCAGTGCGAGTACCAACCCCAACTCGACCAAGGACGCACACAGTAGTGCCGACAAGAAAAAGAAGAAGAAGAAGAAGGGGGGCGCCAAGCAGCAGACGCAGACTCGACCGATAGCCGACGAGTCTGGCCCTCTATTATCTCCACCACAACCACCGACACAGTCGAGCGAGTCGCTGCAACGAAGTGACTCGACGCCCACGGTGATCACGACATCAACACCTGCTTCTTCGTCTCCACAGCCGACATCAGCACCAACTCCGTCTGTTGTGGTTGCCAAACCCCCTACGCCTCCGAGTACCCGACGCCCCCTACCTACCCCCGGCCAACCGAGTCATCCGATAACCCCCATGTACACTCGTGACGAAGCTTGTGAAAGCATGGAAGAAGCCGATGGCGGCAATGGACTCAAAGATCAACGCAGGCCACCCAGTGTATCGTCGAATTTGGTATTTCACTTTTCGCTCACGGGGCACGAAGACAAGGCCGATTTGTCTGGGAGTGAGCCCCCGCCTTCACCGTCGGGGGCTGCCACCAACCCCCCGGTCCCAGTCGCCACCACGTCTCCGTCGACGGACGTCCGTCCTGCCGCCGGCGGGGACCTGGCGACGGGCACCGGCCTTCTTGCCGACGACACTGGCTCTATGGACGACGACGAGCCGATAGATTTCCACGGCGACTCGAAACAAACGTCTCCCCCGTCCTTGTCCTCTGACATCCTCTTGGACGAACGGTACTTAAAAAAACGGAAAAAGCAGCTCGAAAAGCTGCGACAGGATCTCGTGGATGCATGCGTGAGGCGGCAACTGCACGCGATCAACGACGCGATTGTCCGCGCCTCGCGCAAGCAAATGCACGACCAGCTGGGCGACGAAATCAACGCCGCCAAAGCGTTGGTCGAGCTGCTGCAGAACCAACCCCCGCCATCCAACGACGACAATGGCAAGGCGGTTGAAACCACCAAGGTAGCCGCGGACGATGTGGACGAACACGATGCAGCAGCAGATGCCGCTACGCCGTCCCCTTTACCCACGCCACGAACGTCCAAGGAACCAAAGGGAGCGCCGTCCCCCCAGTCGAATTCCGCGCCCACAACCCCCGACAAGATGATCAAGGCGGCGGCTTCTCCTCGTACCAACAACTCGTTCAAATCATCTCCTGTCGCGAGGATACCCCAAGGCAGCAACGACCCGAAAGAGGCCGACCATCCCCATGTGTTGATGCTCCAAGCGCAGCTCGAGGCCATGCAGCTGCAGTACACGCGGTGTCGCAAGGAACTGGAGCGGATGCAGGCAACACCTGCGCCCACGTACAATCTGTCGGTACCGTTTGCGCACAAATTGCAAGGCATGGAGCGGTGTATGCGGCCACTCAACCCGTCGATCCTGGGCTGTCCCGCCCTCCGCCAAGTCGATGCGATGATCAACCAAGCGTTTGGTCCGACCTTGGAATCGGAACATGTGCGCGCCAAGCTGCTGCGGTACCTCCGTCACATATTGGACCAGGGCCAGTGCTCGTATTCGATCACGCCGTCGGGGTCGTACCCGCTCAAAACGTACCTGCCGGATTCCGACATTGACGTGTGTCTGGAAGTGCCGGACGCGGCTGCCACGTGGCATCTTGCCGTGACCCAAGCGCTGATTGGCGCCGCGACGCCCGCCGCCGTCGACAGCACATTTTTGCCATCGTCGATGGCTGCTCCAACCCCCAATTTGAACTGCACCGTGCGCAACGTGACGTTTATCAACGCCGAAGTGCGCGTGGTCAAGTGTACGATAGACAATGTATCGATCGACTTTACCGCGAATCGCTTTGGGGCGCTGGGGGCGTTGGCCCTGCTCCACGAAATGGACGTCCGCGTGGGCCAGCATCACCTGTTTAAACGAACTTTGATTTTGATCAAGGCGTGGGCCATGTACGACAGCTGCCGGTTCATGCTCGGCCCCCCCGGTCGAAGCAACATCTTGGGGGCTGTATCCGGGGCACTCTCGACGTTTGCGCTCAACACGATGGTCATGTGCATCTTCAACCTGTATGGCAAGCGCATTGTGCATCCATTGCAGGGGCTGATGGAGTTTCTCCACTTGTTTGCCGACTTTGACTGGCAGTACCACGCCGTGAGTTTGTTTGGGGCTGTTCCGATTGCTTCGCTCAACAACAATATAAACGTCGGCGCAGGAACGAGTCATGCCAACCCCCCCCCCCACAACGGGTTCCTGATCGACCCCGACTTTGTCGCACAGCTCAAAGCCAAAGTCGATCAAGTTAGCACTACTCGATCAGATACAAAGCCATCGCCGCTGCTGCCGTTTCAAGTGCGCGCGTGCAACGTTGTGGACCCCCTGAACGAGTCCAATAATGTCGCACGCAGTGTCACAGCAGACAACTTGGCCGAGATGAAGCAGGCGTTTCAAGGCGCGAGGCAGGCGCTCGTGGACGTGTTCTACGAAGCATGGCAGAGCGCCGAGTACAACCGGACCGACGACGTGCACGCCGAGGACATTGTCGCCCACGTCGAGCGCATCGACGGCTTGTTTGCGAACGGCATGCAAATGTACGGCAGCGGATGGCGCCCGGATTTGCTCGTGCACCCGAGGCAGCTGTGGCGTGGCCCGCCAATGATGCTGGGGGCAACTAGTGCCGACGACAGCGACGTCCTGCAGACTGAAGTGCCCGAGTTTTTTAGATAGGACCAGATTCAACCCAAAATGTGTGACGGTGTGAATATGCCTCATATACTACATGGTATCGGCGTTTTTGCTGGGCGACGGACGATTACTAGTTTTGCCGCTAGTAATACTAGTAGTAGGTGTGGTGGTCTGCGATAGAGTGCATAGACATGTCGGACCCCTTTGGGTGTTTTGTTTTAATTAATATGACCTCCGAAGAATCGATGAATTCTTTCTTGTCCAGTCAAATATATATGTGATACAGTGTAAGTTCACTTCACGTTAGTACCAGTACAAATTGCCACAGTCGCCTTATACCAGAACATGACCTTGGCCAACTCGTATATGTCATCGAATTAACCTGGTAAGTAGTGATGCAACTCATCGTTATTGATAGGCTTCCTGTGTAACGCTATCCTTGGACTCAATGCGTTACCGTCGGCGTCGAAGGTAACTTTAAGGTAGTCGAATTGTGGCCAACTACTGCTTGTGCTCTATGTGATGTCGGAAAGTAACGTGGTACATAACATGATGTTATCGATCTAACATGGAGGTGCAGCCTGGCAATTCAGTGGTTAGTGGGTTGGTTGGGACCAATCAAAGTTTTTAAAAGGATTTCGGCGCATGTCCCAGTGTAGTCACATTATCAATGGCGTTCGACCGAGCAGCCAGACATTTAGATGGAGATTACGTGGAGACGGTGCATAATCAAAGTTGACACGTCCACATCACCACAGTCAAATACTATCGATTTTGTCACCAGTATGACAATGCAAACAACGGTACTCCTGGTAGAAACTCTCATGCGTGTGTGTGTCCTTGCCTTTGCCCAAGACGTCTTAGATATGCCCGCGCACTACTTGTTTGAGGCGTGACTGTCCTTGGCGAACCTGGAGGCGCGCCAGCGGGGCCTCAAGGTTGTCGCCTGCGGGCGCCTGGACATTAATTTTCGTCATAGCCATGACATCTTGGAGACATGTGTGATATGATGAATGTCGTTATCCGGATATCCGAAGGGCCACCATTATCCGGATTGTCCAAGCCATATGCATGTCTCAGCTTGAATGAAAATCAAAGGAACAATGCGCGCACTTGCTGATTTGTCACGTCGGTGCCATGGGACGAACGTCGTCCCTCACGGAGTGGGCCCACTTTGTCAAGACGTCCCACAAAGCCAGCACGAGCTACTGGTGGGTCTACTGCCGCCACTGCGTGCTGGCGGCAATGGCTGCTGCCGCCGGCGACCAGTCAACAACCAACCAACCTCCAGCCAAAGCAATGCACGATTTCGTCGACACCATGCCAGTGCCCACAGCTGCAGCTGCTGCGTCCACCACCGATGCAGAACAGACGCTGCTTCCATTGGTCGGTCGTCGCAGTGTGATGAAGGCGCACCTGGCACATTGCATCCATGCAACTCCCATGCCGTCCAACCCCATCGTGAAGCGACGTGCAGGAAAGCGAGGTGTCCACTGCGCAATTGCTGAATGGGCACACTTTCACCGCCTCGAAAAGGAAGGGTACGCAACCAACAGTCCTCGACGACCGCAACACCGTTCTTAACAACCCGTCCATCGATCCATCCTCATGCTCGGGCATAGGTACATTGGAAACACAAACTACTTCCCCGTCGTGTGCAAATACTGCGCCGACGCGTACGACACCAAGACGAGACCGACGCCGCCCGATGTGTTTACCGGACGCAAAGAAAGCATGCGTCGCCATCTGGCTCAATGCCAGCACTTTACCGGCAACTTGCCCGACAAAGCGGCGAAACCAACCGCGTCCAAGTCGCTGTCCGAGTGGGAGTTCTTCGTCCAGCTGGACCGGCAACCGGGCAGCATGTACCACTTCGCCAAGTGCAAGTCGTGCACCGAAGCCCACGCGGCCAACCCGGACCAGCACCCCGAGCCCAAGATCATCTTGGGTCGGAAACACAACATGCAAACGCATTTGGCCAACTGCCATCACATGCACCACCTTCGCAACGTCATGGACGACATTGCATTCTCGAACGACGAGGACGACGAAGCACGTGATGAAGATCTGCAAATCTCGGGCACTCCACCCGCATCTCCACGCGATGTTGACCCCCCCAAAAACGAAGCGCTGATACACTTTACAATCGAGCACAATTTGCCCTTTTCGTGGGTCGAGTCCAAGCACATGCAAGTGATGGTTCAGTCGCGGTTGCCCTCTTCCCACGATCTATCAACCTCCATCTTGCACAGAGTCCAACGTCGACTTGAAAACGAGCAACGCGCCAGTTCAAGGCAAACACTGATCATCGAAGCGCTTCCTCCAGCCCCCACCACCACCACGACAGACCAAGTAACTACCAGCTATGTTGCGTGGCTTATCGATGCACACCGTGTGACCGTTCCTCAGTGGATGCCCGGCCAAGAGACGCTGACGTGGACCTGTCAGGATCGCGACTTGGCGTCAGTTGCCATCGCTCGCATCAACCAGAATGCGGACACCGTTGTGGCGATAGTTCTACCGTGGTCCCCCTTGCCCAGCAGCAGCGTGACGATGATCTCAACCCATCCGTCGGTTTCCCACGTGTATTGCCACCAGAGTGTGGGACCTATATTTTACTCCATCATGCACTCCGTCTTGCAAGATGACATGGTCACGCGGGTGTTACGGATGGCGCTAACGTTGGCTCCGTTGCCGACTAGTTGTCTGTGGTCCAATTGGGCGCCGTGGCTGCACCTTGTGAACCAACAGCGGTCGCATCATTATCCGCTGGAATTGGATTTCTGGCACCAACTAGACAGTGTCGGGTCGCTCTTGTCGTCACTCAGCTTAGCCAATGGCCTTGCGCGAGTCAATACACTCAGTTTGGCCCACACGGTGCACCTTTTGGGAGACGTGTATCTACGAAACCAAGGCCTCAACCGCACCACGCTGCTGCAGCTCAAGTTGGAGCGGGAGCTGGAACGCCACTGGCTAACACTGGAGCAGCCACTGATGGTGCTGGCGTATGTGCTGCATCCAGAGTTTCAAGGGCACGTAGCGCTACACTCGCGACGAACCAAACTGACGACACAAGCGCTAGGCGACGTAGCCGTGTTTTATTACTCCAAATTCTTTCAAGAACCACCGCGAACGCTGTCGTTGGCGAGTGACGTGATGGCGTTCGTCGAAGGTCGCCTGTCGAATGTGTCCAACGCAGCCTCAACGGACGGTGCCACGTTCAGCACGCACCTGAGCGCAACCTACCCAGACCTTGTGCGGCTCATGCAACGCCTACTAGACATCATACCGAGCTTTTGCCTTGACAATGGCCACCTGTCGGCCCACCACTACACTCCCGACGAATGGCAGAACATCAAGTACATCGCGTACTGCGCGCCACCGTCACCGCGTCATAGCCAAGGTCTGGAAGATATCCGTGACGTGGACGAGCTGCTGCTCAAGTGGCGATCCCAAGGGCTGGTGGAGTCGAACACGACGAACCAGGAGCTTGGGGGCACTCGTCAGGACCTCGTGCCAAAGGTCACGCTGATGGAGTTGTTTGGGTCCCGGTTTCTCTAAGTTCGACATGGACATAATTTAATTCAGCAAGACATACGTAGTTTAAAATACTATGATCATTACATACAAAGATACATATAACATATTTTGTGATTTGTTTTAATGTGTTTGTATAGTATTAATAGTATGGCTTCGTACTTGTTCGTGATTATTGATGGCAGTGAGCAAAACTTGAAGCAGCAGTACGCAATCAGAATGAACCGCCAAGACGAAGTCGCCGCGTTCCAAAAGCTCATGCCAGCATCGGCGATTGAATCATGCAGCCCAGAGCAGCTCCAAGCGTCCATTCAGTATGGTTTTGCATGGTCCCAAGCTGAATCTCATAGCTGTCTGCTTGTAGGTACACACGATATCGGAAACTGCGCCTGCGGTTGCGCTTCCCGGACAACTACCCCAACGAAGAGCTCGTGATTGAGCTCATGAGCGACACATTGCCGGACGTGGCATTGCGTCGGCTGACCAAGTTTGTCGATGCAAAGGTACGTGGCTCCAGTCACTTGCATGTGTGTGTGACCATGGGGCAGGCCTCGGAGCTAGCCAAGTTGGGCCAGCCTCAAGTCCAAGCCGTGGTCGAGCTGATCCAATCCTCACTTGCCGACAACAAGTTGCTGTACGCCAACGACGAAGTGCGGCAGTTGAGACTACTGGCCGAGCAAAACGGGGGCGAAATCAAACTCAACGAGCGCGCAGGTCGTGTAAAGCTACTCCTGCGACACCGCGGCTACGTCTTCCACGTACGTACACACACGTCATCGCATCTCCGTGTCACGTTGCATATGCTGTTTATTATTAGGCCAACATTAAACTGGACGATCATTACCCAGACTCGCCCATTGCAGTGTCGTGCGACGAGTCCAACTTGCCAGGTACACTCAAAACACTATAACTCTGTACTAAATTAGCTTTTATAGCGTCGATTGTTGCATTGGTTGTCAAGCAAGCCAACGACATGGTGGCGCGGATTGTTCAGGTAACTTTTGAGTCCAAGTAGTAGTACTACTCGTACGAGCGGGTAGTAGTATTACTACTAGTAGTAGTCATACTTGAATATGTCAACATACGCATGTGTGGCGTCTAGGGCTACACGGCCGACCAAGCGCTGTTTGCGTCTAATCCGTTGAAGAAGCCGCTTCGACTTGTGGACGCAATTGAGGACGAGGTACGTCTCGATTAACTACTTGCATCATATTTATATATAACATATATATAATATATATATATGATATATATATCATTTCGGCATTTTTTGATTGGATAGTCATGTTTCTATTTCGTACAAGTACTGTATTGCAGTGTCATCGCATCAAATTATCTTGAATTGCATTTTCATCGAGATGTATTCCTCACTTCGTATATATATATATATATATATCTAGGCCACTCCAGTCAAGAAATCTGGCACCAAGAAGTCTGCTCAAGTGCCGAAAGTTGTCATCAAGGTACTCGTACGTACATCCATGTATATATATGACACGGCGTCTCTCGCATTAGGCATCTCCAAGAGACAACATTTCCCCAATGTACTACGCACAAGACGGTGGAATTTTGCATCAAGCCCCGCTGGACGTGGCGGTCAAGAGTTTGGTTCCAGTGTGCAAAACATTCCTGTGGAGCCAGTGCCTAGTGGGCTTGGCTGCGACCACTTGCGTGGTAATATAATAGCATCATCATCCTAAAGTTAGAGTTTTGGGTTGATTTGCCGAATCCATCGATCGATTAGGTTTTGTACAGAATTAGAATGTCGCTGTCCATGCTACTATCAATCAAATACTCATATTGTTGACGAGTGTGTTTGATTGGCTACTTGATTAGAGTTCTGGGTGTTTTGATTGGTCGATCGATGGTGGGCCGCTTTAATTTCGAATTGAATGGACAATATAATATAGTATACATGTGTACATTTCCTTGAAAGTAATCAAATAGACGTGCGGCCAAGCTATTTTGCCCTCGGATCCCTCCGCAGCAATCAGCTCTGGGCAACAGCCGCTTCAAGCGTACTGTGGCCACTGGTACCACCACGACTGTCTGGGGCCGATTCTGCAGAGCCCCCCGTTTGTCCACGGCTGCAAGGTCTGTCTGCCCTATGCACGTCATATGAGGAACTAACTAATGGCCTGTAGGCGTGCCACGTCATCCTGCACCACCCCCTGTGGTCCACCAACGTCGACGAACTCAAGAGGGGGCACGAACGTGCGATCCGACAAGCCAAGGAACTCGAAGAAATCGCCGACATGTTTTAAACAGCAATAATATCGCCAAAGTTACTCAACGAATTACGTCAACCTCCATGTTCTGTCCATGCACTACCTGTACTGTTATTAGTTAAGTAACTTTTGCAGTAAAGTTGATATCGATTCCGGCTGCAATTCCGCAACCTGGTCGTGGTATAACGAAGTTGCACGTTCAAGTCGCCAGCGGGTCCGCTCGAACTTGGTGAATGCGTGGCCAGCATTACTATGGCCGAAGATTGTGACCAAAATCTCATACAATTCAAGACTGCCCTAGTTGAATGCTCGATTCGTATTGTGCTTTCGAGTGAAATTTCATTGTGTTGTGGTTTCTCGTTGGAATTTAAATCGATTTGATTGGCTACCTCAGTTGAGCTCAAAATTATTAGCCAATTAAAACCTTCTCAATGAAATTCAACCAATCAGATCGATTGTGGATCGGTTTGGTCGGCGCAACGATTCGATTGCCCCAAATTTGTACTATCAAATCGACAATAACAAGTGTGAACGTTTACGATGCTTACTCATCGTCACATATATAATAGACTTGAAAGCATGTGAAACAGTGTTGAATTATAGGTACAGTTTGGCTTCGCTCACGGTGAATCGATTGATACAAGCGGGCCATCCGACAAGCCAAGTAGGCGCCGACAAGTTGTGTACTTGGCTTATGCTATTGTCTGTCTTTACCCCAATATTTGTACTTTATGCTGATTCGCCAAATCTATCGATCGATTCTTTGTAACTGACTTTTATATATTCCAGTTTCATACTAATTTCAGTCACACACTAATTCGATGTTGCTTTGGTCGAAGAGTGGATTTGATTGGCTACTTGATTCGTGTTCTGTGTTCTGATTGGTCGATATATCGATTGTGTGCCGATTTGGTTAGTCTGGTCATTCGATTGTCCACTTTCGAATCGATGTATCACGTTATGAAAATCATAACTTGATAATTATTTTAGGTTTCGATTGCTAATTCCGACAAGTAATTCACCACGCGCAGCAACCGGCCTTGGTATTTCTCGAGAATTTGCACGTTCAAGTCGCGGTCCACAAAGCCCTAAGAATATATATATATATATACATCATAGCATGTGACCACTCTCGAAATATCAATTCGTGCACAGTACTACTACATACCATGCTTTCCAGCTCGTGCAACTGGGCGCCCCACTTGTTGCCGTCGACTTGCGTTGGCAGAACCGGCTCCAACGCGTGCACGGGCATCACATCGGGCGTAAACAGAGCCTACACCACCAGTCCATATGACGCGTATATGGTTGTGGTTATTCTAAGCTCGAGAATGAATCGACACAACCAAATGTATTACACAAGAATCATCGGCAGAAGTAGTCTATAGCCAATCAGAGTGCAGGAAACCATCATCAACGTCATTCAAATTAGTGTATGTGACTTCGATTAGTAAGATATCAATCACCACAGGACAACTTGAAAATTTAGTGCAAAGAATCGATCGATATAGATTTGGCGATTCAAAAAGTCCACATTTTGGGTAAAAGGACAATATTTTCAATATATTACTTTCCATTACAAACGAACTACTCGAATACTTACCCTCCATCACAACCACCTGACAAACTATCTATACTGCAATGTCGACCATAGAATTGTACCACCAACTACACAAACTCACACGATATACAGGTGACAGATCGAAACCCCAGTCATATATTGTCCAATCGATTATTCGAAACTGGAGCCGCCCTCAGCAGAATCAAATGTGTTGCGAGAATCGATTCAAGAACCGCCCGAGCCAATCAAATCACGTCATGTCGAATTTCTGCCAATATAAACAAACGTTTGGCCCATTGGGCAAAACCACATATATACTAATCTGTGTATAGTATAATGTGTACAAGATCAAATCGACTCTATTTGGCGAAAATACTCTCAAATATGGGTGAAATGCACAATACCTCGTCTTGTATGGTTTCCCATCGCGCCCGCGCGTGCCCCCAGGCGTCTGCAGGTACCCGTGCTGCATCGTCAACTTGCATGTCGACATCATTGACCGCTTGGTCTGGCACTGCTGTTGGTGCCTTGCATGGCTCGACAAACACAGCTTCTTGTCGACCTCGAAACCCGGCGTCCTGGAGCGGCAACGTCGAGAGGGGGATCACCCGACGGGGGTAGTTGGTTGCCATGAGAAACGACGCCAAGCCAGTGATACTCGTGACAAAGTCGTACAGCGTGGCCACGGAATCAGACGCGGCAAAGCGGCGCGCGTGCTGCGACCCGTCGGGCGTACGAACCATGAGTTTGATGACGCCGGCGTCGTCATCGAGGGGCGGTTCAGGGGGCAGTCTTGCGAGGGCGTCTGCTTGCCGTTGGAGGCTTTGCTATGTATACTAAATGAGATATATGTTCTATCACGGATACTGTAGTTCTATTGAGTAACAGTGAGTGTGGATGTCAAAACAAGGGCGAAAATCTTCAATATATTTTGGCAATTTTGAACAAATCGGCAAAAAGTAAAATAGTATTTTCTGTATCTCATATTGTGTGTTCTACTCAATGATTTCCTCCGTTGGTGATTGGTTGAATCAACCGCCGAACAATCGTCGGACCTTTGACATTTGATATAAAACGCAGTTTCAGAGGTATCTTTGTGACTGCAATGCATCAATCAATCTTTTTAGCCAATCATATCGCAACCTTCAATATTTGTAGCCAATGATAATCCTTTGCTCGATTAGTTGGCGATTTCACCAATCCCCCAAAATAGGCAAATTTGGCTAAAGAGCAAAAATTCAATATTTTGCCAAATCAAATGTATCAGGTATCTAAACGAGGTTCAACCGACTTTTTTTTCGGAAAGGTGGCAAAAACTGAGAATTGACAACCAAATGCTTCGAATTATATGTGGTATATTCGGTACAAATTTCCAGAATCGAATATCTCGCCGCCGAATCGAATCACGAATTGACGCTATTGGCTAATCCAATTTTTAGTGGATTTCATTGGCTCTTACAAACAAGACAGAGTATAGCCAGCCAATCAGAACTCCAGCGTAATTCAATATTGATTAGACAAACCATGCGAATTTTGGACGTTTATAGCGAATTCACAATATTTTAGCCAATATTTCAAAATATATAGATCCAAACTATAAGTATAAAGAACCTCGTGGAGTCGTTGCTGGGCTTGTTCTGCAGCTACTAGTTGTTGCGCAGCAACTTGCTTGGCCGTGATCTGTCGGTCGATCGCTTCGCTTGGCAGCAAATCGACTTCCAAATCCACGTTTAATATCGTCACCTACGCATGTTCATACGTATGACATTGAGTCTCGACTACTACTAGTACTAGTATTACTACACCATGTAACTAGTAATACTAGCTAGAACGAGATATGGATCATGTACGTACCTGGGGCTCGGGCACGATTTCCTTGACGGCAACTTCAAACGTCACTTTGCCGTGTCGAACAAGGAGGATGTCGCCTTCAGTGAGCGTAGTGTGGGTCTATATGGGACATGGATGTGAGCTTGCTACGTAACTGGGGACGAGTGTAGGTTAACGGTCCGTACATGTAACGTGCGTTCGAGAAGGTGCTTGATATCGATTTGACGGTCACCAAACCCGTCTCCACGAGGCTGTAGTTTAACCGCACGACCCTTTTCAAGCCGCACAAAACGCACGGCAATGTCCACGGCCTCGTCCATGAGATGCAACGACCGCGCAACTTTGGGCGGAATCCCGATCGTGTGCTCGTCGGCCACGAACTCCAACACACTCGCATGGGTGGTGTGGCCTCCAGCAACCAATTCGAACGTAAACACACCCAAATCCAATGCGTTTTGCGGGTTCAGCTCCTCCAGGGCCGACACGGGCAACGTGACCTTGTCGCCGTCGTTCGCGATCGGCACTGCGCGAAGGGACTTCTTGTACACGATGCCACCCGTGATGCGTTGCTCTTCCACACGTCGCTCTTCGTCCTACCCAAGTGTTACGCTATGGTGTGCACGACGACATTCACATACGGCCGCCGCTTGTTGCGCCAGCTCGTCGCGTCGACGTTGCGCTTCGACTTCCATCTCGACCCGAAGTTGGTTTGTTTTCTCGACAAGAGCCTTCTCCCTCTCCATCTTCAAGCGAGCCGCTTCTCTTCTTGCGGCCTGCTCCTTCTGTAGCTTCTTGCCGCGCGACCCCAAATCAAAATCCATCGTCGACCTTTGTTCTTGTAATACTGGTACATGTGCAGTGTGGAGAATAATTAGTCGAGAATGTTGGTCCCTTCCAACATTCTCGACTAATTATTCTGAAGGGCCCCGAAAGTTCGACGATGACGTAATCTTACGTGGCAATAATCCGTAATCATACCGCGTCGCCATGATGATCTTGACGATCTTGGTCATATACAGTAGTATTGTCCACTAATAACTCCACCTTAACTGTGAGTACAGTCTGTAGTTGTGGTTGACCGCTTCGTTCGGCGGTCAAGACGTCGCCCGCTCGGATGCTGTGTAGCGACCGCTGTATGTACATGATTTGACTTCTCCATGTTCGTCGCAGCGTTACATAACATCTATAATCGGACGACTGGACGTGATTGTGCAAGGATGGACTGACCGAGCAACTCATTACAGCCAAGAAGAGCAGGTGAAAGGCAACACGATGACGCTATCGAACGTGGCGTTCCTCCGCAGCTGCTACCTGTCACGAGCCGCATCTACTGCACGTCCCGTCGGACGGGGATGGTAGCCTGACATGAGCGCGCAATAAACCGACCTTGGTGGAAGCCATCCACGTGAAACCTTGCATCAGAGGAGGATTGAACCCATAGAAACGATGGAACGCCGTTCAACTTTAGATAGTCCAACATGGCGTCCAATTCGTCGCGGTCGACGTCCGGGAATTCCCCCGTGGACACATTTCTCGTGCGCAGACACGCGAGGACGCGACCAAGGAGAAGGCGGGGATCCAAGTCCAAGAAGTACGCATATGTGTCGCTGGGGGAGATGGGTTTCCACAGTCCAGATCCGAGAAGTGCATGAAAGTAGCTGCTGCTGCCTTCACCTACGTAGCGTTGGATGTTTTCATGATAGCGAGCGTCACAATATTGGGAGTGCTTGCAAGATTTGCGTGAATGCGGCGTGCTAGCTCTGTCGAGTTTAGAGATGCCGATGGGCGAAGCGAATGATTTTTGCAGCTTTGTCGGCGGCTTGAGCCAGTTGCGTCCACGGAACAGCAGCACTACGAGCGAAGTGCGCGGTCAAAATCCTGATGCATGTGAATTTGGGTAGGAGTTGGACATGCTGCGAACGTTCAGTTACAGTTCACTTTGAAAAAACCCATTGACATCAAGACGGTGAAGTCATGTTATATTAATTCATGTACAGTACAGTAGTACTGTACCAATACACTGTAATATTAGCTCACAGTTAGTCTACGGGATCGAAAGGCCGCCAGGTGGACATTCCATCAACCACCAATAATGTACAGTCCGCACTACCACGAACTGCGACGACCTACCATGATCAGTTGGTCGTGGTGAGTCCGGCCGAGTTTATTTCGTGGTGTGTCGACCCCTTGACTTTTCACTTGAAACAAGATCTTGCCCACGACCAGGGGCGAGGTCGTGGTGCGCGTGGCACAGCCGGCAATCACCCCCGCCGCCACCGACTGCCACCCGTCCCCGCGGGGCAGCAGTTGGGGATGGTCGCCAAAATGATACCTTGTTAGCGTTCATGGTTTGTTGCAGTTTTAATTGTATGATGTGACCAACAACGAACAAATCGATGCTTTACGTTTCAACGTCCTTCGAACATTGTCGCATTCACGCCATGTCGCGTGTGCTTTGCTTTTCGTTTTCTCGTTCGCCGTCGCACATTGGTTCACTCGGGAGCTGCCATGAAAAGTTGCGAACATGGGGGGGGTGCAACGTTATCTATTTATAGCTTGGTGTAAATTGCATCCAATCCATGCCAGTGCTTCATCGAAAGGTCGGCAAAGAAGGTTCTGTCGTCCTCGACAAGGTGCCGCGGCCAGCACAAAGTACAACTCAGTTTGTGCTACCCACATAGCAGATCAATCACACAAGTGCTCCGAGTGGCGCAAGCGACGATACTCCATCTGCTTTCGAGCCCCCCGATTTCAAAACCTCGATTGGAATTTCACTTGTTTTCCACGTTATACTACTAGTAGTACGTCGGAGCATACCTAAAGTTACACTAGGTGATTCCGACCTTGTATCAAGACAGACCATAACATTACTAGTACAACAAATACGCGACAATCCATGATGGACAATGCACATGCGACCATGTAATATGTAGTGACTTCTCTCTTGTAGTATTTGGCGCCAGATATGAATAAGTCAACTTCAAAATGAATGCCGAACCAATGGGCGAGTGGCAATTCCATGATTGGTACCAGCTCGTTTCTGAGGTGCGTCAATCGTAGCGACCATCCACAGCTTTTTGAATGCACCAATACTGTACTGTACGATAGTTGAGCAACCACTGTTCTCTCAAACCCACATGTCAATGAAAAGCGTCGTCGATGTCTCGCTTTCTGGGATCTCGTCGCTTTACAAATCGAAATGCCCCAATACTGTAGTACACCTACATCGTGCTCACGGTGTAGCCAAACCCACTTTACGAGTCTTCTCACCAAACTTGGACGCTTCTTCATTAGACAAGCACATACACATACAACTCAAACCTACGCTGTACAGAGGGGCACCGCCGCGCACACTGCACGTTCCGGTGGAATTTGGCCACGCCCATCGTTTTCACAACGTTGCCTACGTTGCGGTGACGCGCTAGAAACTTCACCGAGCCCAACCGTCCATTTTGCGTGGGATGCTACCAAACCTACTCCATGTGTCCCCCTTTCATGTTTACCACATACGAACTGACCAAGAAATTTGCTGTCGGAAGAATCGGCCATGCTACACTGGCGGTACAATGACTTGATCCTCCGATTCGAATAAACAAGGGGCAACTAACCAACCACTCGTTGTTGATAGCCACCGTGTTCATCAAGTGAGCACATCGCCCTCCCACCTGGTTCATTTCGAGTTACCATCACAAATGACTGGGGAAACAGCTTTGTTGTTATGACGAATAAACCTCATGTGAACCTACCTCCCTTCCGAAATCTTCCAAACACGAGCGTTAGCAGTAACTGTATCGCGTAAATATATATATCCCTCCTAAACATGTTGTAAAGGCGTTTTGCATTTCATGGTGGGAGGATCTCTGAATGTGCGTTGTCAAGCCGCGTTGTTAGAATGTCGCGTGTTCGTTGTCGGGCAACATATGACTGACAAGTTCTAGAACATTTTTCGGCGGTAGCGTGCGAATTGAAATGTCCTATGGTAGTATGTCGAACGAAAAAGACTTGATCGGCAACCACTTTCAATAGAACACTATTGTACCCATCTCTTAAAGGCATCTTGAAGCCCATGTGCAGTAGTAGCTTAAGCACGCCAATCGCCGCCTTGAAGTCGCCATTGGTCAGTTTTGTGTTTACCCCGTTGCCAACTCATGGTCGTCGACAGAAACCTCTCTGCGATATTTTCCTGGCGAATTGTCATCTTACGAAGCCCCTTTTTGATTGGATGCAATTAACTTTACATTATACATACCATGACGCCCTCAACATGAATAGCAAGATTGGCCAATAGGCGAGTGAGCCAACTGCTATATGCAGATCAAGGCAACCCCCAAAAGCCTGCGACAACTATCGAAAGAAGTTGATATGTAAAACAGGAGATCAATCTGCTAACGTTTGTTGTCGATCATATCACACAATTGAAAATGCAACAAACCAACACCAACAACCAACAAGGCGTCATTTTGGCGACCACTCCCAACTGCTGCCCCGCGGGGACGCGCAAGGGATGGCAGTCGGTGGCGGCGGGGGTGATTGCTGGCTGTGTCACGCGCACCACGACCTCGCCCCTGGACGTGCTCAAGATCTTGTTTCAAGTGAAAAGTCAAGGGGCTACGACGCTCCAATCCACGTGCCGCACCCTGCTCCAAACGAGGGGAGTTACGGGGTTTTGGAAAGGCAACTTGGCGGGGTGCTGCCGCCTTGGGCCGTACGCTGGTGTCAAGTTCTGTCTCTTTGACCAATTGCAAATGCTGGTACACGGGGATAACGACACCCCGACCAACGTCGGCCGAGCCACATGCGGCGCGATTGCGGGCATGGCAGCGACCTTCTTCGTGTACCCCATGGAGCTCCTTCGGACGCGACTCATAGTGTCCCCCATGCCTCTGACCATCCGTTACGAAGCCCGACGCATCGTGCAAGCGGACGGCGTCCGGGGGTTCTACCGCGGATGTACGTCCGGACTTGTGGGAGCCATTCCATTCGAAGGCATCCAGTTTGCGTGCTACGAGTATGGCAAATCGTATGCGATGACCCACCGCTGGCCACCGTGCCGCTGGCCCCAAAACAAGACCCAACTGCAGACGGTGGACCACCTCGCGCTAGGGAGCATCGCGGGGGCCGTCGCACAAGTGGTCGCGTACCCGTTGGACACGATCAAGAAGCGCTTGCAGTTGCAGGGGTCGGGAGCCAACGCCCGATACGACGGCATGGTCGACTGCTTCGCCAAAGTGGTGCGAGAGGAGGGGGCGACGGCCTTGTACCGAGGGACCGTCCCCAACATGGTGCGCCTCGTGCCGTACGCCGCCGTCATGTTTGCGTCCTACGAAGCCGCCAAGGACTTTCTCAAGGCTTTGTGAGGATGGTTCCATGGCGCTTCACACAATCCGAACACCTCACTTGGGCAATCCATGTAAACCCTGTTGGCCAGGACTGGTCGGGTCTTGTCAAACCCGCAATCGCTCCAAGAGTCAGTCGCCACCGCGTCATCGCCCCTACAACTGTACTCAAGTTCGTTCGTCCTTATCACGTTGTAATTTAACATTGCTGAGCTTGTTACAGTAACATTAACATCGCATTGCCAAGTAATGATCTATACTAACTGTAAGTTACACCGTTTTGCGGTTAATTTCGAAAAATATCTGGTATATTTCGTGCAGCTTCATTATATTTTGCGACTTCGGCATTTAATGTCGTGGGAATGTCGAATTCACTCATTAGATTTCATAGACTGCCAGCATATTTCGTGATTTTCTCATTTAGATTCGCAAACATCCAATATATTTCGTGACGATCAATATATTTCGCATAAATGTTAACGCAATGGGTGTATGTACTGTATAACGTTATATGTAGGAGTGACGACTATAGGCTGCAGTCAAATCGTCGTCCATGTTTGCGAGGTGGAGAGCGTTTTGGAATAAATGGTTCACATCAACTCCTATCAACTCTACTCAGTACACACTAGGTGGTATCAGAAACATACCTTGAATGACTTGGTCAGCAATATGCTTCAGATATTATTGCATTCGGAATTCCTCCCACATTCATTGTAGCTCCACCAGAAAGTGGCCCAATGAATGCAGCGAGTGGATTACTAAGCAACGTCTTCACGTAGAGTTTCATTGCTCACAACTGGTTCTCGATTAGATTCACCATAGACGAGTATGGACGACAAAAACATCCCGATATCAGCAAACCGACTACCGGTGATGCTATGCAGACATCTGGACGTTTTTCTGTACGTGGCTGGCATTCGCTAGTTACTAGGTCAGTATGTATGTGCTTAGTGGGGTTCATGATGATGGCGCGCGAATGATGGTTTCGCTGACTGTTTCTGACCAATCAGAGCGAGCTGATGTGAACATCACAAAATTCTTCGAGTATACTGGATGTTTGCGAATCTATCTGACAGTGAGCAAATCACGAAATACAGTATACTGGCAGTCCACGAAATACAGTAGAATGAGTGAATTCGACATTCTCAAGACATTAAATGCCGAAGTCACGAAATATAATGAAGCTCCACGAATTTAAATAGCATCCCCACCGGTGCGACTATTATACAGTTCTATCCGGATTATTTACAGTTGGACAACCCCACTGGGCGACTGTAAAATACTGGAAACTGTACAATTTTACCGCGAGACTCCAAATCGGCCAGATTTACAGTTTCGACTGTAAAATACAGTTTTGACGAATTACTACGTAGTAGCCAATAATAAACTATCAATGGATAATTTTGTCCAATCATCGGTGTCATGGAGGAGCCGGAAAGCCAATACTATTGTAATTACGTTCCTTTGAGCAAATGGATCCTTCAAACGCGCTCGTGGCTCACACTTCACTAAACTCGTCGAGTCCATCGGCAGCCCAACCAAAGCACAACCTTCGCTGAGCAGTGACACAAGTTCTCAGGTGTGAAGGACGGATTTTCCTTACTTCCATCAACCAGTTGTTAGAACAGTCGTCATTCTGCACCGCATCGTCCATGCTGAGTCCATATACAGTACCTATAGTATAACGACCTTGATCTACTAAAGTGCGGGTGAGCTTTTCCCCCATTCTGTAAATTGACTGTGAGACCGAAATAGGCAGCCCCGACATAGTCGAGCTTCTTCAGCCTTACTATCCAGGCGCAGATTGGAATGGCGGCCTGCTATTGACTATATAGGGCGGGAAGGTAGTCAAGGATCTCACAAGTGTATTCGTCCACGTCATCACCTTCGCCTAACATGTAAGCTTAAAGCAAACTTATGCTTCTGGATTAATTTCCGGATATGATGTTTGCTGGGGTTGACGAAAATCAAACTTACAGGAACTGTAAAACGGAATTTTTCAGTCTGATTA